ATGAATGTTTCTGTTAATTATTATTTTATAGATGAATGTTTCTGATCAATTATTATTTTATAGATGAGTGTTTCTGATCAGTCCCTGAGACGACTTCTGTTGTGACCTGGAGACAGAAATGAACTGAAGTGACTGACAGGAAGTGTTTTGAAATTTGTAGCAAAGACGATGAGACCATTGAGCAGTTGCTGTTTTCTGTATGAAATGTTTGACCTTTGACCTGTTGTCATTGGTGTCTGTGACCTTTGACCTGTTTGTGCTTGTGACCTTTGACCTGTTGTGTCATTGGTGTCTGTGACCTTTGACCTGTTTGTGCTTGTGACCTTTGACCTGTTGTGTCATTGGTGTCTGTGACCTTTGACCTTGTGTTTCTGTGCTCTTGGTCTTTCAGACCTGCTGTTCCTGGTGACCTTGACCTCCTCGGTGTGCTTCGTGTCAGAGATCATAAAGAAGGTGGAGCGGCTAAGGGGAGCAGAGAGACGCCCCCCCCCTGACTCCTCCCTCAATGTATGACCCCTCCCCCTCCATCTGTCTTTTGTGAGGGGTTTGGAAGAAGAGGATGATGAATGTTGGAGGATCACACGTCTGACGGCACTGACTCATTCAAACTACAAAAACTTAGTTTTTTCCTGAGATCCTGAGCTGGGTCTGACTCTCTGGTCTGGGACTGGGGGGTCCTCCTGGGTTACTGGACTGGGTTTCTCAGCGAGCTCAACTTGCTGCTCTTTGAGGATCAACTGAAACTTTCGAGACAGATTTCTACTTGGGTTTTTTAATGTGGGACAGAGTTCAGTTTCCTCTGTGGGTTTTACTGCTGAAGGTGGAGGGGTTTTACCTCCTCTGAGGGTTGGAGGTGGGGGGGGGTTACCTTCTTTAAGCTGCAGGGTGACGGTACGTCTCGCCCCAGCAGAAACCCATCCAGGCTTCGGCCTCTTAAAGTTAATTTAGTCTTTATTTAATCTGAAGACGCATAACGGGACGTTCCACTGTTTTCTGTCTCCTCATCACATCTGGATAAACAGCTGGAGACATCTGTCCTGCTGAGGTTGAACAGAACCCTCAGCAGGTGTGGAGAAGCTCAAGAACCTGAACTGGACCTGAAACAGCACCTGTGGATCCTGAGGCTCTGTGAAGTCCCAAACTGTGGACCACCAGGATGGACCTGAAGGCTCCCAGCAGGAACCTCCTCGGGGTTTTTGTTTTTCTGCATCTCCAAGCCTTAAAGTGTGAACAGGATCAGAAAGTCCAGCTTCTGGTTTCAGTGGTCCAGGTTTAGATCCAGTGAGCAGGTTCGTTGAATCCAGAACAGAACCCAGTTTGGTTCCACTCACTTTTCCTGTTTCTTTCTCTTCAGGTTGGTTTTATTTTCTGTTAGTTTAGTTTTAGATGAAACTCTGAGGTTGTTCCAGGTTCCTCCGGGTTCTCGTCCATCGGTCCAGTCTGAGCAGCTGACGGAAATCCCGTCATAGAAACAAAAAAGTTTTGGTTTCGGGAAGAACATTTTTACGAGCCTGATGGCAGTTTTTATCATTCCAATAAATCCACTGAAAAGTCCGGAGTCTGAGACCTGCTGATCCTGACCCTGATCCAGATCCTGATCCAGGCTCATCTCCAGCTTTAAAAATCCAGAACAAATATTTCATCTTTTTTTAAAATGTTTGATTTCCAGTCAAAAAGTTCTTCTTCCTGGTCGGGTTCTGGTCCTGTCCCGGGTTTTACTTGTTGTTCAGTCAAACAGAACCCTCCTCCTCCCCAGTTCTGTTCTGAGCAGAACCAGGCGGTACCAGCGGTTCATCAGGGTCCAGCTCCTCCTCCTGCGGTGCCTTACAGAAGTCTCACCTGTCTCACTTCCTGTCTCACTTCCTGCTGTAGTTCTTTAACGATCTCCTCCTGTCAGCGAGGTGGGGACGCCGCGGTGCATCATGGGTGATCTGTCGTATTTATTCTGAACGACCCGTTTGGGCCTTTCTGGTTCTGAATTGGACCTGTCTGTCCTTCGTGGTTCCGATTGTTTCCCTTCAGATGAAAAAATGTATTTAAAGTTTTTCTAAATGTACAAACAGATTAAATTTATCACTTTAATCACAGCAAGGTTGAGGCTGCGCACGTGGTGTGCACGTCAGCGTGCACACGGAGTTCCTCATTAAATTATTTTCTTTTCATAAACAAATCATAAAGTTGTACAGCTCATGAATAAGTGATTTTTAAAAATTGAAATGTTTATAAAACACATAAAACCCAAAACGACTCGTTTGTTTTCTTCTGTCAAAGTAAATCCAGAAGGTCCCGCAGGTCCGAGCCTCCTGCTGGATTTAACTAAGGTCCGAGCCTCCTGCT